TCTGGGATCATGACCTGAACTGAAGGCAGATGCTTAACCAACTGAGCCACCCAGGGGCCCCCAAATATGTGGTTTTTGTTTCAAATAAGATTGTCCTTGTCAACTTCCCCGACTCATGCCCAATTTATATTTCAAAAATCACTTAAGAGAGGTTTGCAAAAGCAAGTTCAAGATAATGTTGTGTATATTTTAATTTTGAAACTTTTTATGAACAAAAATACATTAAAATCAAATACATAATACATATTAAATAAGTGGGCAATAAAGATTTTGATTTGCTGTGTGTGTGCGTGCATGTGTGTGTGTGTGTGTGTGTGTTGATGGTGGTTTATGTTGTTCAGACATGTGTGGGTATTACAGGCAAAGAAATTAAATTAACTCCCCCATTCTCCACATGTGATTTCCCCCTCCCTGTCTAAGCACTACAAGAATGCAGGCCACAATCACATAAAGTCACATGAGACTGAAACAGCATTTTCGTCTTCTGTGATTTCAGTCTGATGGATACTCAAGGAAACTAATGCTAGCTATGGATGGTCTTTGCTGCCTGCCCCAACATGTTTATTATCAACACTGGCCTGGCAGGAACTGGTTTCTGACCCTACCCAGCTGTGGGGGAACCAGGAACTAGTCATTTCACCTCTGTAAAATAGAGTTGGAGTAGACTATCTTTAAAGTCCCTTCTATTTCTCAAATTATTTGATTGTATGGGTTCTGTTCCCTATCTATCTGGTTTCTGGGGTATTAACTCGCTTACATGGCCAGCCAAGACTCAATCCAGAGGCACTGGGGCTCCTCCACATCTGTCACAGTAAAAAATACCTTGTTCTATCTTATCACACTGGATCAAGATCATGCAAAGTTATTTGGTGGTGGTGGTGGTGGTTTTAATAAGAAAACCATAGCATCTGATGCATTTTTTTTTCTAAAGACTAGGATATTCTGAAATGCTTATAATATTTTTACATCCCTGAATAAAATAGGTCATTTAAACATTGTTAATGTCTAAAGCCACCATGTTTGGAAAAGGCAGGAAAAGTCAGAAACTATTTAAACTGCTTGTAAATTATATCCCAAGATAGATAGAAGTTTACTGGATGGGAAGGACCATGGTAACAGTAGTTTAGACAAGAGAGCCTTCTTGGAGGCTTTGAGACTGGGCTCAGTGCTCTACCCAAGCATCTCAGCGCACCCTTCTCATCCTTGCCCACTGTCACACCCAAACCTGTGTTGTAACTGCTTAACTGCTAGTCTCCCTCTTCACTCACTGCAAATTCCTTGAGGGCAGGGATTTTGCTTGTTCCCTGATGTACCCCTAGGGCCTGACACCTAGGAAGGACTCCATAAATAACTGTTGGGTAGACAGCCAGCTATATCCACTTGCTGATCTTCCAAGAGCAACAGAAGCAAAGCAAGAGTGGCACCACATGAGAGCAGTAAGAGACCTCTCTACCCACAGCCTGTGTTCGGGGGCTGGCAAGAGAACATAGGTTCCCATCAATGTGTGATTTGATGGAATCCCCACAAATTTCCATCCAATAGTGTCCTTGTAGCATGTCATACGATGCCTGCCTATGATAGGATGGATCCTATGATAGGATGGATCCTATTACAGGATGTATGACATTTTGGTGGGACCGCTTTGACTATTTATCCAATTCTTACACACACCTCAGCAGAATCTGCCCACAGTGTATGAACCACAAGCAGCTAAACACAAAGAACGAACACTCTTCAAGAGAGGAAGATGAGTTGGTGTTGGCTCTATTTTAGGAGGAAATTCCTCTGGCTACATTTTCTAGGAACGAGGTGGGGTATCCGTTGTGCAATTGCTCAGCATACTGTTTGGTAATGGATCAAGAGAACCTTTTACTCCTTCCACAGGAGAATTTGACCTTCGGTTAACTTTCTAGCTCTGTTCCCCCGGCAACCTAATAAAGAACAGCGTATCAGCTATGTTGCTGGCATCATCACACGTGGAAAAAAAGGATCCCTAGTTGGTAAACTGCATCCAGACTGGGAGAATTCTAAGTCTACCTGATAGGAAGCCACAGGTACAGTGACCCTTGGAACGGACGTATCTCTTGCAGGGACCCTGGAAACTATGTCTACAGGGTTGTTATAATGGACACTTGCTCCCATGAGACAAGAGGCTTTTAAGCCAGGATAGCTTCCATACTTGTCTGATGTGGGTCTGTCTCCTTGCACCTAGGTTATGACACACGGACAGTTCCGGGGACTCCGACAGAAGAGCGACATCTGGTTCTGCCCTCCTGGCGAGCGGCACTTCCTGTCCTGTATCCTTCTAAGTGCTTTTGAGGCCGAGGGTGGCAGTTCATGAGTGTGAATGTTTCTAAATGCTCAGTTGAGCCTAAGTAGACCACTGTGGTACTACCAGCTTCGTGTTTTGTTTTGTTTAGATGCTCCACAGGGACGATGAGAGATGTGAAACTGTCTGGCATGGTTTTCTGCTTCCTCCAAAATCATGATCACACCTGTCACTGTCTGCATGACAGACAATCCATCTCCATTACGTGTCACCAAGACAGATAGCTCCAGTTGACGCCTTCCTTAAAATCCCCAAGCTTGTTCCTACTAAGCCTTCTCCCACCAAGCACGTAATCCCACCCTAACCACCCTGGTTTTTAATATGCTACTGACAAATATCCAAAAGTCAAACGATGGATATAAAAATCACTCCCCCAAACCACAATTGTCAATGAAGAATTGGGGGTAGCGAAATAATCTCCCCGGGGGTCAGAACAGATGCTGGAAGTCCTCCAGTTATGAAGGTCCCGTTATCATCTGATCGCAATGGTGTGAGTTAGTGTCACCTTTTAAAACCAGGGGCACGTTGGAAAACAACCAAACTACTCCTGCCAAACAAAACACTTTTCATTTCTCTCTACAGAAGCATTCTCTGACGAAAAGAATTCCATTGTCCGCACTAGAATGAAAGGTTTGAGGAGCATAGCAATATTTAGCAGAAATCCTGAACAAAAATCCACGAAAACACTGCCCATCACAAGCGACTGAATAAAGGGCCCTCTTTGGAGCTGGAAGACAGCACAAAAGCACAAGGCAAGCTACAAGAGACCAACAGCAACAGGAAGGACCGTGGTAAAGCTCAAAAGAGAGTGCAATAGAAACTTCACACCCAACCCTCTGCCCCTCCCCACCCTGTTAACACTAGACTTCACAGAGGTAATTCTATCGTCAATGCACAAGAGACACACAAGCCAAACTTCTCAATCCAATGAAGCAGTCTGAACTCAGATGACCACAGGCCACTCCAGTCTTCCCACTGCCCTCAGAATCAGCACATGCAGCCAACGTGTGGCTTTGTTCACAACATCGATGAACGACAATAAAAACCCATCACGTATTCTGAAGCTCCAGAATACTCAATTTCACATCTTGCAGACCACCAGGTAGCGACCACCAAAATATTTACATCAAAAGGGCATCTATCTGCCAAATGACCAGCAGTCATGTTGCTCTATGTCATTTCTTAGTCTATTACAGATACAGGCCTTATTTACATTCCTTTCCAACCCTTGCTATGAAAGCATGTCCCCTTCCCCCAAGAGAAACAACTTCCCAGGGATGCCATTTTTAAATTCCATTACAAGTAAGAATTCTGTTCCTGCCCATGCAACGTATCTAATATAAGACAAAGAATCCCTTTGTGAACTTGGATTGAAAGTGCCAGAAAGATGCCAGATATAAAAGGAGTCCTTAACGGTCTGTGTTGGGCCTAATGATGAATTTACTTATAAAAATATCACCAACTCCATTAATTAAACCTTAGGCACTGTGCAGTTATAAATACTGACCACCAAATGTGAACATAAATTTAAAACAGAGGACAGTTTACGATCTAATAGTCCAAACAAAGTCATTATTTCCATTAAAAGTGATAGAATTCAGCAATCCAGTTAGTACTAATGTCAACACCCAAACTCAAAACAGCCAACCAGGAAGGCAACAATCGGAGACATTACGGAAAAAAGAATCATTTAAATATTAAGCTTCATGTTCCATTTTCCTCCCATGATTTTGCTACTTTAAAATGTAATAGAATGACCAGAGCCTAGTAATCATTCTAGGAGTATGAGATCAGAATTTCTAAGTTTCCACATCACAGACCAAATCAGAGCTTGGGCAAGTTATGAACAATTTGGCCTCAGCTCCCCATTTTACTAATTCCACTATTTTCCAAAACTTGGAAATGGGAGCATAAGGGCCTACTAAATATTATGAAGGTAAAAGGTAACCTAAAATATAACACAAAATTAAGCTCACTCATTAAAGGTCATTTAAAAAAATCTTACTTTAGGGGCGCCTGGGTGTCTCAGTTGTTGAGCGTCTGCCTTCAGCTCGGGTCATGATCCCAGGGTCCTGGGATCAAGCCCTGCATTGGGCTCCCTGCTCAGCAGGAAGCCTGCTTCTCCCTCTCCCACTCCCCCTGCTTGTGTCCCCTCTCTGTGTCTCTCTCTGTCAAATAAATAAATAAAATCTTTTTAAAAAAATTTTTTTTAAATCTCACTTTATGTTATGGTCAGGTTTCTCAACCTTGATACACTGGACATTTTGGACTAGATAATTCTTTGTTCTAAGGGGCCGTCCTATGCATTGTAGGATGTTTAGCAGCAACCTTATCCAGATGCCAGCAGCCCCCTGCCCTGAGTTGTAACAATTGAGACTGTCTCCAGACATTGCCAAATGTCCTCTGGGGGACAAAATCACCCCCAGGTAAAATTCACTGTCTTACAGTGGAATTGCTAATGTAAATTTACTTTGCACCCAGGGATATGATCAGGTCATAGAGTCACTGAGGAGGATCATTGCTCTCAGAGAAAGCGGGCAGAGAAGTTGAACTGTGAGGTAGAAAAGTCACATTAAAACACTAGAAATGGGGCACCTGGCTGGCTCAGTCAGTGGAGCATGCTATCCTTGATCTCAGGGTTGTGGGTTCGAGCCCCATGTTGGGTGTGAAGATTACTTAAAAATAAAATTTAAAAAAACCACTAGAAATAATTTAAACAGAGCAAAAATATCAAACAAAACTCCTTGCAAAGCACACCTTCTACACAACCAGTTAGATTTCCTTTTTGCTAAGATCCCTCCTTGAAAAGAACAGCTAATATTTCCATTTCAGGAATGAAAAGTGTTTCTGGTCCTTGATAATTTCCGGTTTGTTAATCTTGATCTAAAACAATAATTTTCAAACTATCTGTGGCAAAAGACCATTTTTAAAATTTCTAATCTACTGCAGGCCAACAGGTGGTCCTACTGTGTGGATTGGTATCAAAGAATTCACAGGCCAGCTGTCTGGGGGTCACAGTTTGACTAACACTATTCTGGAGTTCTCACTTCTATTGAGAAGTATGGTTTAAACACCTTTTGAACTCTTCAGTGACTAACACTCACAAGCCAATTTATAATGTTTTTTATTGGCTTTTTTGTTCAGGAGGCAGAAAGAAAGGTGGTTTTGCCACCTTTTGAAACACAACTATACTCAAAGGAAGAAAAAGTGATTTCCTTTAAAGCCCATTTTGGATACTTTAACATGAGACAAAATTATGAAAGTGCCTTAAATATCTTTAATCCTTAATATTTCCTGCTCTTCGGTCTTTTAAAGAAGTATAGCCTCTTCTGTTAGAGTAACCACATGGCTGCAAAGTGGGTGAAAAGCAGAATGGTTTTAAAAACCTGTTCTTCTACCAACCTTCTCTTTCCCTCCAGAGGGAAAAGCAGAATGGTTTTAAAAACCTGTTCTTCTACCGACCTTCTCTTTCCCTCCAGAGGGTAAACAATTTAGAAATATAACTTGTTTATATAGGCTTGCACTTTCCCTCCAATTAAAGCTCTATTCATAATCAAAGTAGAAAACTCAGCAGTGGCCATATTTCCACGCTCCACAACAGTGACTCTGGAAAATGGCTGGAAAAAGCAGGAGTATTTTGAATTTCGCCCAAATGACTTGTTTTATGATCACAAAACAGGTGATCTGTGTGTGTAGAATTGTTAAATACCAAACGAGACAGGGAAACCGCCCAGACCTGGGCTCACAGGCTCCCTTCCCAGGGCTAACTTAAAGTTTAATACAACTGGGCAAGTCAGAGTACCCCAGGAGCCTCTCAGCTCATTTCCATGTTTGTGTGCACATAAATACTCCCAGCCATTAAAATTGCAGCCTTAGAGTTAAAAAGTACCTTTACGATCATGTAGCCGAACATCCCTGCCTACCTAATGTCATGAAGCTTTCTCTTTAAGACTTCACCAGAAAACTAAAATATGGAATCCATTAGGAGAGGCTTGGCAAAAGAGAGACTGGTCTCAAGCTATTCTTGCCCACCTTTACAGAGAAAAAGGCTGACAAGAAAGGAATGTAGATGAGTGAGACAATATGAAAACAAGCATGGAGATTTTCTTATCTCTCTCCTAACCAGAGTCTGGGTGCACGACAGGAAGAATGGGGAGCCTTGGGGCCAGCCTTGACTCCCTCAGAATTAACTCAGCAAAGCCCTCTGAAACCAAGGGCATTCCACTAAGCAGTCATTAGTCCTTCGACTCACAAGATCCAACCTTCGCTATGTAATCTAACAAAAATGCAAGTAGAGGAACAGCGAAAAAAATGCTCCCCTCGGGGTTCCACAAAATTGGACAAATGGTGGCTTTCGAATGCAGAATAAGCAACAACCAATTCTAAAACCTCTCCCCCACCAAAATTTACTGCTACGTAAGTGTCTCTCGATCTGACAAGTAGGGCCGAATTTGCCGTCTGTCATCAGAATCTTCTCCGGCAGGGTCGTTTTCCTCACCAGACTCCACGTAGATTGGCCAGTCATTGTCCGTGTCACTCTTTTCTTGGCTTTCCGACGAAGCCTCCACCAGGCTAAGGTTGATGGGCATCAGCTCGTCCTCCTCGTCGTGTGTGTCGGTAACACACGTGCAGTTGTCACACAGCCCGAAGCGCCGCAGGCCCTGGGACAGGTGACTCGTGAAGGTTCTTCTGCAGCCCTTGCAGATGATTGGACGGTTGGATCTGTGCACCTGAAATCACACACGGACACAGTAAACGCCCCCCCCCCCCCCCCCCCGCCACAGCCTCCGCCTCACCAAGGTGCTTCCGCCCCAAGGCCATCGGGCAGGTGAGGAACGTGCCACCTCCCCGCCGCCAAGCCTCTTGCCCGGCTATTAATATGCCTCTGACGGCCGCCTTCGCTGACGCTCTGGACCAGCTTAGGTCCCCAGATACACGTTCTCGCCTATCCTCCTTCCTTTGTTGAATTTTTAAAAAGATTTTATTTATTTATTTATTTATTTATTTATTTAGAGTGAGCAGGGGGAGGGGCAGAGGTAGAAGAAGAGAGAGAATCTCACGGAGACTCCGTGCTGAGCACAGAACCCTACTCGGAGCTCAATCCCACAACACTGAGATCATGACCTGAGCCGAACCAAGAGCCGGTCACTTAACCCACCGAGCCACCCAGGCGCCCCCCACGCCCCTTTGTTGAATTTCTAACAAATGGTTAGTAAATTCCCTAGATGATAATAAGCTCCAAGAAGACAGGGGCCATCCTCATTCATGTTCTCTGTCACATTTGTTACTATAACTCTATGCCTGGCATATAAAGGGCATGCAGGGAACGCTTGAGGATTTTAGGTGTGGCTTTTTATGTACCTGGGATTGTCCAGTTATTAGGGAGGCCGACTTCCTAGATGGTATCTTCTCCGTCCTTATCTCTTTTTTGATAAATGCTTTCCTTACCTCTGAGAAGCACTTTGCAAACTAGAAAAAAGAACCTGATCTCCTACCCCACGCAGTTCCTCCTTAGGGCAGCAGCCCCAGGGGCCCCCTCTGCATACGGATCTATCTAATGTGTGCACTCTTCAGGAGCTCCAGCCTAGAGGGGTCTGCGAACCAAAGCCTCTGCTGTGGAGACCTCTGGATGCAGGATGCACACAAGAGGTAGAGACAGAGAGAAATGACAGAGGACAAAAGCCAATAACACAACACCCAGCTCACTGGAGCTGCCACTACATCCTGGCCAAATGCCTTCCAGGGGGTCTCCTAGGCTTTCTACACTAAACCCCAACCCTTAGCCAACCTGGCTATGTCCATGACCTTTGCAACCTGACAGGGCCTTTGAAAACCACCTCTTGGGGCTGCAGTGGACTGGACCTTGTATAACATGGAAAGATAGAGGGAATAAGGATTCCAACCAGTAAACTATCTTCAGGGCACCAGGAACCTACTGCTGCCAAGACAGACTGGAGATATAATTTGGGGGGGAGAAAAAGACAGACAAAAACTTGAGGCTATGGGAAGAGGCCATTCTCAGGGGTGCTGGGGCCAGCCCTGAGAGTGGAGACGGCCAGTAACCTTGTACTTAACTTAAATCTGGATTCTTTCAAAACCACAATTCACATACCACAAAATTCACCTTTTAAAAGCATACAATTTGGGTGTCTGGGTGGCTCAGTTGGTTAAGCGACTGCCTTCGGCTCGGGTCATGATCCTGGAGTCCCGGGATCGAGTCCCGCATCGGGCTCCCTGCTCGGCGGGGGGTCTGCTTCTCCCTCTGCCCTCTTCCCTCTCATGCTCTCTGCCTCTCATTCTCTCTCTCTCAAATAAATGAATAATAAATAAATAAATAAATAAAAGTGTATAATTTAGTGGTTTTTAGTATATTCACCAGGTTGTGCAACTATCACCACCATCTAGTTCCAGAACATTTTCATCACCCCAGAAAGAAATCAGGTGCCTATTAACGGCCACCCCTCTCCCATTTGCCAGCCTCTTAGCCCCTGGTAACCACTGATCTACTCTATCTCCATGGGTCTGCCCATCTTACGTATCAAGGAAATCATACAAGATGTGGCCTTTTGTGACCGGCTGCTTTCACGTGGTGTAATGCTTTTAAGGTTCATCCATGTTGTAGCATGTATCAGAACTGCATTCCATGTTATGGCTTAATAAGGGTCCATGGTATGGATAGGCCACAATTTGTTTATTCATGCGTCAGTTGATGGACACTTGGGTTGTTTCCACTTTTTGGCTATGGGAATAATGCTGCAATGAACCTTTGCGTGCAGATGTGTTTTTGTGCGAATGTATGTTTTCAGTTCTCTTGGGTATATACTTAGATATAGAATTGCTGCAGTCTACGGTAACTTTATGCTTAAGTTTTTGAAGAACAACCAGATTGTCTTCCACAGTGGCTGCACCATTTTATATTCCCACCAGCAGTGTATGAATGTTCTAATTCCACCACATCCTTGCCAACACTTTGTTATTACTTGCTTTTTGGTGATAACAATCCTAGTGTGTCTGAAGTGGTATCTCACTGTGGCTTTGATCTGCATTTTCCCAATGACTAGTGATGATGAGCATCTTTTCATGTTCTTATTGGACATTGTGTATCTTCTTTGGAGAAATGTCTATTCACATCCGTTGTTTAATTTGGTTATTTGTCTTTTATTGTTGAACTGAAAGGGTTCTTTATATATTCTGGTTACTAGATCCTTAGCAGATAAATGATTCACTAGTATTTTCTCCCATTCTGTGGGTTCTCACATTCTTGATAGTATCCTCTGAAGTCCAAACCATTTTTATGTTTGATTTTCTAAAGACTGATTGCCTTGCTCAAAGATGATCTTAAATACAATGCCTTCCTAAATGGCCTGAACACCTTTTAGCTGGTGGGAATTAACCACTCACATGGGAGACAGAATCCCAGGGGGAAGCCAGTGGGAGGGGAGGTCCCCTGGGTCTGAAGTCCTCTTTGCTGCCCACAGGTAGCCTTAGAAAGGGTGGCACACACTTTTCCCAAATCCAGGTACTGGGGTTGGGTGGAAAACTGAGGATGCACTCTTCTCACCTCTGGCATCACACCGGTGAGAACAGACCCACAATCCCCTGTCCACACCCCATTGTTCTCTGCCTTATGACAACCATCCCTGACCAGGATCTAAACTTTCTTGAGTTGGGGGCGCCTGGGTGGCTCAGTCAGTTAAGCAGTTGCCTTCGGCTCAGGTCATGATCCTAGGGTTCTCGGATCGAGCCCCACATTGGGCTCCCTGCTCAGTGGGGATCCTGCTTCTCTCTCTCTCCCTCTGCAGCTGCCCCTGCTTGTGCTCTCTCGTGCTCTCTCGTGCTCTCTCTCTCGTGCTCTCGAGCTCTTGGCTCATCACTACATACGTATGTTGGATTATTTTGTCACATAAATAAAATCTAAAAAAAAAAAGCCAAAAAACAAACTTTCTTGAGTCTAAGAAAACTAGTCTCTTATATAAGTTTTAACTTTCTCTAAGTGCCACCAACCCAGCTTTAATTTAGTAGAAACACATGTTTAAAATTCTCTGAAAATGCTCCAGGGGACAGAGAAGTAAAAGGCAGGCTGGTTCACCCTTGCATTAGACAAATGTCAGGAGCCCCCTCCCCTCCGTCCCCTCCACCCTCACCACAGGAGATTTTCCAGCCCAGACACTTACGCTCAGGGCGTGACTCCGCAGATGCTCCTGTCGCGTGAACCTCTTGCCACAGGTCTCACAGGGGTAGGGCCGCTCACCCGTGTGCGAGCGGATATGCCGCTTAAGGATGCCCTTCTGTTTGGCAGTGTAAGGACAAAAAGGACACTTGTGGAGCTTGATGGGGACCACCAGCACGTCACCTGGGGAACCAAATGGGTTGTAAGCATCAGTGACACTGGCCACCCTCCGACAGGTGATCGGGACCTGCGGAATTCTGCCAGCCCGGACCCAGAGGGAGGACATCAACTTTACCACCAGCTAAGGGCAAGACACTACAAATTCCAAGTCTCTGTCTGGCTCCCAATCAGCCAGAGGGTAAAGTGGGCTTCTGATATAAGGCTGCAAGGAATGACATATGGTCCTGGCTTCTAAACTTCTCTATGGCTCGCAGTTAGAGACACAGCTTACATCACAACCTCAGAATTCACATGTCTTCAAGGGGATAACTGGAAAAGCTTCCCAAAATAACACTCACTCTGACAGTGTCTATTGTCTCTGATTTCATTTTAAGGCAGTGCTGATGGAGACCCTGTTACAGACTGAATTGCATCCCCCCAAAATTCATACATTGAAGTCCTAACCTCCAGTGTGACTATTTTTGGAGATAGGGAGGTAAATTAAGGTTAAATGAGGTCATAAGGGTAGAGCCCTAATCTGATAGGACTGGTGTCCTTATAATCCGAGGAAGAGACACCAGAGGTCTCATTCTCTCTCTGTTCATGCACAGACGAAAGGCCATGTGAGGACCAGGAAGAAGGTAGTAGGTCGCGAGCCAGGAAGAAAACAACCCTACCAGCACCTTGAGCTTGGACTCTGAGCCTCCAGAACTGTGAGAAAATAAATCTCTGTTGTTTAAGCCACTCAATCTGTGGTATTTCTGCTGTGGCAGCCTGAACTGACCTCCTGAATTGATTTCATGACCCTCAAAAGTTTGGGACCCTCTGTTATGATGAATCAGACCCCTGGATCAGGATCTATCCTTTCTATGACAGGAGTGCCTAAGAAGAGCTTCCAGGCATGTGCAGAAGATGTGTACTGTGAAAAAAAAGAAAAAGAAGAAGAAGAAGAATAGAAAAAAAACAAAAACAAAAAAAAAGAAGATGTGTACTGTGATGCACACCCTCAACCGGAATTCGTATTAACTCTATAGATCTGAAATCCTCAAACATCCAGGAATTCACTTAAATCTTTTTCCAACTCTTTGGTTTTTTTCCCACCTTGCTCGTACAACCATTAAGGTGACAACACGATTATCCCCCCCATATACAAAAACTGTTCAAGTTTCCCAAGTTACCCTCATTGCAGCATTCCAAGATGTGTCCCCTCTACGCACAGCCTTCAGGATTTTATAGACTTTGGTCATATCACATCATACAGGAAGGCACTAGTGACTCAAGCTTTCCAGGCATTGAAATCTGAGTTCAAGGCCCTGCTCCACCATTTACCAGCCGTATGACTTTGGACATCTCCCTTGACTTCTCTGTGCCTCACTTTTCTCATCTGTAAAATAGGGATGATAACAGTTCCCACCTTAAAGGATTGTGGTAAGAATGAAGTGAAGTAATACCTACAGCACAGCACCTCGCACATGGTAAGAGCTCATGAATGTCAGCCATTTTTGTCACCATCATCCTCTCCTTGGTGTTTCTTTACCGATGAAGCAGCCCAGGCTCTGTGGTTTTTCTCAACACTGTAGTAACTCCTTTTCTCTGGGACCTTCCCAGGATACCTACCTGGGCTTTATCTTTTCGGAGGTGCTGCCAAAAGTATGGCAAGCCGAATCCCAAGTGAGAACCCAACATCATTCCCAACACAAACCAACCCAAGGGTGGAGATTATTTTCTCTGGTTTCAAGTTCCCAGCCTGATAATGCCTAACATTCTGCATCATCTATAGTGACTCCAAAGCCTGTTTCCTACAATAAAGCAGCAGCTCTTGGCTCATCACTACATACGTATGTTGGATTATTTTGTCACTGAGCACACTGGGACTGAGATCTAGTTTCCTGCTCACTCCTCTGGTGTTGTGGAATCTTCCTGCCATCTAGCCCCACCAGCCTGGCATTAGACTTTATCTCTTCTCAATTATCTACAAAAACAGTAAGTCAAATGCGCCCGGCATTGATCCCCGGAAAAACCAACTGTTAACTCTATCTCCATCAGAAAAGTAAGAATTACCACAACACTTTCCTTCCTCTCTCATGATCTGATCTCACCAATACAACCATTCATTTAAATGCCTACTACATGCCAGACACTCTTAATAAGGTCCACCTTTACCAAGACACCCATTTCTTCCCTCAAGAAGTTAAGTCTGGCAGGAAAGAAAGACATGTAAACAACTTCACACAATATAATGTAACATGTGCAAAGTTCAAAGTGATGAAGAAGCATAGACAAGAAAGTAATGAATTCACTCTAGGAGTTCAGAGAAGATTTCACAGGAGAGGTGATCTTTGAGCAAGGTTTTAAAGGATGAATAGGAGTTCACCAGGAGTTCAAGACAGACAAAGGTATCTCAGAGAAATAACACACACTTAGGCATAGAGGTAAATAAGAAAACAGAATATAAAGCAGAGGGGAGGGGGGGATGAGAAATGAGGCTGTGGAAGGGGCAAGAACCAGACTGTGAAGGTCATGGTCAATCATTTATTCAACAAATTTATACTGAGCATCTACTAAATGTCGGGCTATGTTCTAGGCCCTGGGGATACAGCAGTGAACAGAAAAGATAAAAATCCTGCCCTCATGATTCTGACATGTTCAGGAACTTGGACTTTATTCTGTAAGCAGCTAGAATTTTAAGGAGGGGAAGTACATGGTCAGATTTGAGTTTTAAAAGATCCCTCAGAAGACAGTACAGGGGAAGGATTTTTCTTTTTAATTTTTTCCAAAGATTTATTTATTTATTTGAGGGAGAGAGAGTGCAGGGAGGGAGGGGCAGAGGGAGAGGGACAGAGAGTCTCAAGCAGACTCCACAGGAAAGGCAGAGCCCGTTGTGGGGCTGTCTTGCGACCCTGAGATCACGACCTGAGCCAAAACCAAGAGTGGGACGCTTAACCGACAGCGCCCTCCAGGAACCTTGTAGGGGAAGGATTGAAGAGAGGCAATATGAAAGGCATGAAGTACAGGTGAGAGAGGATGCGAAATGTCATGAACTAAAGCAGGGACCGCGGAGGTGGAGAGGAGATACCCATGTGAGGTAAAATGGACAGCACTTGATGACCACATGTGGGAGGGTAAAAAGGGAAAAGAGAAGATTCAAAATGACAGAGATTCTGGGTTAGCTGACCTGGTGGATGATGGTGGAATAAACCGAGGTAGGGAACACAGGAGGAAAAGCAGGTACTAGAGGAATGATAGGTTCAGTTTGGATTTTACTATGTTTGGGGCAGGCCCAGAGCATCCATGAGGGGCATATCTGGGTTAGATAAATCTGGAGCTTAGGCACAGAAGGGAAAAATACAGTTTTAAGAATCTTCAGGAGGGGTGCCTGGGTGGCTCAGTTGGTTAAGCGGCTGCCTTCGGCTCAGGTCGTGATCCTGGGGTCCTGGGATCAAGCCCCGCATGGGGCTCCCTGCTCAGCAGGGAGCCTGCTTCTCCCTCTCCCTCTGCCTGCCTCTCTGCCTACTTGTTCTCTCTATCTCTCTGTCAAATAAAAAAAAAAAAACTTTAAAAAAAAAAAAAAAGAATCTTCAGGAAATTGGAGTGGTTGCTTTAATTAAGGTCTGGCCTTTCCCTGAGCACCCTGCTTCCCTTACCCCATCGCCCTGACACCTCTGAGTCGGAGGTGCGTAGGATCCCCCTTGTGCTTCACTGTCATCTCCAGACCACTGTCCCGCCCTCCATCCTCAAAAACCTTAAGATCTTTTGAAGCTCACACCATTGAATGATAGTACAGCTACATCTCCTTATTACAGTCATCCTGGATCCCTGAGGTCACCTCCTCATTCTGTGGAGATTTGATCACATTGCCTTCAAATACAACTCCTGGCGTAATTCTTGATGTGAGTACTGAAAATGACCCTGGCCTCTCTGTTCCTTGACCTCCTTTCCTCCAAAGACCTTGTTCTCCACCCCATCTCAGCTACCCCGTCCTAGACCAAGAGCTCTCAACTCCACCTGCATATTAGAATCACCTGGGAAACTTAAAAAAACAAAACAAAACTGATGTCCAATCTCTATCCCAAGCATCAGATTTTTAAAACACTCTGCCTAGTGTATAGTTGAGAGGGAGAATCATGGCCCCATACCTAGATATTTCCAATAACTGCATTTGTTCCGCAGCCTACATATCAAGCATCCCACTTCCCAACCACTATCTCGTATCTTTCCAGCTCACCCCCTAAGTGTCCCTTCTCGGTTGGGACCACATCATGGATTATGCCGCCATTTTACTGTCCTTCACCTCCTTGGGGCCTCATGCCTCTCCTTCCCCAGTTTCGTGCTCACAATCCATCACTGAAATCACTCCTTCACATCCATCCTTAACTGCCTGGGTCTTCTCTCTCCCTCTGTGTTCACCTGGTTAAACCTAAATTCTGGTTAAATACAAATCTGTGCCCATTCCATACCTGAAACAAGGCAAATTAACATCACTGGTGAAAAATACACAACTGTGTTCTGGTCTCACTTCGAATCCATCTAACCATCACCCTCTGAGCACTAATAACAGAGCCCTTGGTTCTGCCCAAGAACCCTAAATATTGGGGCACCTGGGTGGCTCAGTCAGGGACTCCCTCTGCCTGCGCTCTGCCTACTTGTGATCTCTCTCTCTGTCAAATAAATAAAATCTTAAAAAAAAAAAAAAGAACCCTAACTATTTCCCTGGCTCACTCTCTCCCACTCTCCTCAGGGACCATTCCACACCCTCCCTCTGATCAGGTCTCTGCCCCCCACTGTCCCCTCCTCCCTTTCAGCCATTGTCCTTGCTTCTTCTTTTTTTTTTTTTAATTTTATTTATTCATTTGAGAGAGAGAGCGAGCATGAGCAGAGGTGGGAGAGGGAGAGGCAGAGGCAGAGGGAGAAGCAGGCTCCCCCCTGAGCAGGGAGCCCGACGTGGGACTCAGTTCCAGGACCCTGAGATCATGACCTGAGCAGAAGGCAGACACTTAACCATCTGAGCCACCCAAGTGCCCCTGTCCTTGCTTCTTTAGCTGATGAGAAGCAATCAGAAGAGAACCTCCATATGCTCCCAGCCACCCCCAAGCTCCCCCATGAACACATATGGTCTGCTTCCACTCCTGTTCCTATGAACGAATGTGCTTCCTCACATGCAGAGCCAGACCATCCCCACCACTTGGACAGGGACCTCGTCTGCCCTCGCTCTATCAACTGTCTCTCTCTCTTTTACCATCAGTTATCCTACTCTCTCCTGGATCATTCCCACCAGTAAACAAACATGCTTTTAGATCCTCTACCTTCATAAAAACCTTGACCTCATATGCCCCTTCAGCTACTGATGCATTTCTCTGTCCCCTTCACAGCAAATATTCTTGAAAGAAGCATCAATACTCACTGTCTTCACCTCTATTTCCCCAGCTCTGTTTCAAGCCCTTTGGTCTCTTGCCTCCCACTTCATCAACACTACTCTTGTCAAGCCCGCCAATGACCTCCCCAGTGATCAGTGCTCACTCTGCCTACATGCAGTCCTGGACATAGTCGATTTCTCCTTTTTCCTGAAACATTTTCTCTTCCTAGTACCCATCACTCTCGATTCTCCTCCTACCTCCCTGCCTGCCCCCTCCCCGTCTCCTTTACTGGGCCCTATTTGCCTGACCTCTACATGCTGGAGTTCCCCCAGGACGCAGTGTGTAAATCTCTTACCTTCTCCTTCTACAGCCATAAGTTCATGGGATATATAGGTTTCAAATTCCATGAACCCATTAATGATTCCCAAATGTATAGCTCAGCTGTGATTCCCCCCGGAACCCCAAGCATACAGGATGCAACTGCTTAGTGAACATCTCCACCTGGAGATCCAAGAGGCATCACAAACAACATGTTTAAGTCAACTGCTCCAGCTAAAAACCTGAGGGTCACCCTTAACTTCTCTTTTTCTCCTACCACTCATACAAGCCATTAGGAAATCTGGTCGGTTCGACCTTGAGAGGCAGTAGTGTCCTATCCAAGAAGACCACTTTGGAGGTTATGGCATACACTACCCACATGGATGCTTTTAAGATATGTCACTTCAAGTCACTCTCAGCTGAGACCCTCTAGTGGTGTCCCTTCTCAGAGGAAGACCCAAAGGTCTTCTCATGGCCGTCAGGGCCCCACCTGATCTGCCCTCATCCAAACTCTCTAACCTCATCCCCTAGCACTCTGCCTCACCCACTCCACTCCAGCCTCAGCAGCACCCTGCTGTTCCTCTAGTTCACTTGCCAGTTGTGACCTGCACCTGGGCCTTTGCACCTTGCTCCTCCCTCTGCCCAGAATGTTCTTCTCCCTGATTTACCTTGCAGTTTGCTCTCTTCCTCCCTTGCAGTTTCTGCTCAAAGGCAACTTGTTAGAAAGGCCTTCCTTGTCAACACTAAATAAAACAGCATCTCCTTCACTATCAACCTCTCCCCTGCTTTAGTTCTTCTTCATGTTATATACTTACTTATATGTTTATTGTCTGTCTCCCTGCATTGGAATGTCAGCTTCATGAGGACAAGGACTGCCTTTTGTTCACTCCGATGAACAGTGCTTGGCATATAGTAAGTGCTCAATAAATATTTGTTAAATGATTGAGTGAATGGAGACATAGATCAATGGAACAGAATAGAGAGCCCAGAAATAAACCCATGCTTATATGGTCTATTAATCTATGAAAAAGGAGGCAAGAATATACAAATGGGAAACGACAGTCTCTTCAATAAGCGATGCTGGGAAAACTGAACAGGTACATGCAAAAAAATGAAACTGGACCACTTTCTAACACCACAAACAAACACAAACTCAAAATGGATTGAAGACCTAAATGTGAACCCTGAAACCATAAAAATCCTAGAGGAGAACACAGGCAGTAATTTCTCTGACATCGGTCATAGCAACATTTTTCTAGATATGTCTCCTACAGCAGGGAAAACAAAAGCAAAAATAAACTATTGGGACTACATCAAAATAAAAAGCTTTTGTGCAGGGCACCTGGGTGGCTCAGTCGTTAAGCATCTGCCTTTGGCTCAGGTCATGATCTCAGGGTCCTGGGATCGAGCCCTGCATCGGGCTCCCTGCTCGGCGGGAAGCCTGCTTCTCCCTCTCCCACTCCCCCTGCTTGTGTTCCCTCTCTCACTGTGTCTCTCTCTGTCAAATGAATAAATAAAATCTTTAAAAAAAGAAAAAAGAAGATGTCTTAAAAAAAAAAAAAAGCTTTTGTGCAGTAAAGGAAACCATCAACAAAACAAAATAAAGGCAACCTACTGAATGGAAGAAGGTATTTGCAACTGACAAACCCGATAAGGGGTGAATATCCAAAATATATAAAGAACTTACACAATTCAACACCATAAAAACAATCTGATTGGGGCACCTGGGTGGCTCAGTTGGTTAAGTGTCTGCCTTCGGCTCAGGTCATGATCCCAGGGTCCTGGGATCGAGTCCCAAGTTGGGCTCCCTCCTCAGCAGGGAGTCTGCTTCTCCCTCTCCCTCTACCCCTCCCCCCTGCTCATGCTCACTCTCTCTCTTAATAAATAAATAAAATCTAAAAAAAAAAAAACAAAACCCTGGGCACCTGCTCAGTATTGAAGGGTGAATTTAAATTGGGATTCATTAATTTCTTGGCTTGGGGTTCTGGAAGCTATAGGGTACTTTCATCAGTAAGGTGGCAGCCAAGTCTATTTCAATCTCCTACAAGACATTTTACAACACAATTACCCCACCTGTTAAGAGGAGTTAGTCATGTCAACTCATCTCTCAGAGTTGTTCAGGGAAACAACCAAGTTCTCTTAAAACGCAAAAGCCTACCAAAGGAAAATATTTGATATAAAAGCTAGTTTAAGGGTGATGATTTAATTAAAACACAAATGTCTTTGGAGTTACCAACATTAATTATTAAAAGAAAAAAAAAAAGCCTACCAAAGGATATAAGAAACCTACTCACATAAAGCCAAATGCCAACTCATTTTAGATATTCTCAAGTAGATAGCACCATTGACCATGACACGCTAAGTGCCTGTCGACCATGTGCCGGGCACCATGGCTGACAAAGAGAAGTATCAATTTCTTACCTGTCCGGAATATGTGATCATACATGAGAAAAAATTCTGAGAACCTTCTCGTTTGGTCCTCAACCCTGTGATAAAGGCAAGGCAGGGATGATTATCTCCTGAACAAAATGGCTTCAAAGAGACTGATTGATTTAATCCAAGTCCCACTGCTTATTAGTAGAAGACAGTAGGTTCTTTCCATGTCTTCAGACTGCCCTCAGCATGCTTACACTCTAGTCGTAGAGGTAAAATACTACCACAGAGGAAGAGACAATGGCCCGCACACAGCAGGTGCTCAATGACCATCGCTTGGTGGGGGTGGTGGTAATGTGGTGGTAATGACAATTATGGTAATGGCAGTGACCATGACAATGATCATGATGGCAGGAGCCGAAGAGGCCCAGGTGTGCGTGCTAAAGGACCGGCAGAGATGCTGAATGCTCGTGGAGCTCACCTGAGTCCTCTCCATACCAGTCAGTCTGGACATCCATCATGGAACTCATGGTTCCTCCTGCACCATCTGGTCTTCCCTCCAAACTCCGAGAAAAGTGATGGTCCGCATCGCCTTTGCTGGGGACAGCACTGTTGCGCAGAAGTGCCTCCAGGAATTGCTTCACGTGGTAGTTACCGTAAGCCAAGTCCACAGCCTGGCCACCGGGCAAAGCCTCGGCCACGCGGGCCACGCTGAGTGGGGAGGCATAAGGCTGCAGCGGCTCACCACCCTCCACCTCCACCTCGTCGGCCTCAAACTCCACCTTGGGCTCTATCTGTTTGGGCAGAATAGAGAGGTCACCGTCAGCTGGGCCACAGCCCTGGCGGTCCTTCACCACCAGTCCCAGCGGGTGGCAGCCCTGGCAGTCACCGCAAGGGGACTCTCTCGGACGGTCCACACTCTCCTCTCCCTCGGCTGCCGAGGAGACCAAGCTCTTGGTATCACAGGAGGTCCCTTCCCTGCCTGAACTGGGGCTTCCGCCGTCAACCTGATGAGCCCCCACGGCCACCGCCGCCGCCTCCTTCTCCATCTTCCGGCAGATATCGAGGGACGACCTGATGTACGTCTTGCAGAAGTTCACCACATCGTTCATCTGCAGGTAGCTGGCCGCTGACATAACTTCAATCACGTTCTCCCCGCACAGATCCAGCTTCCCAGAGTACAGGAAGTCTAAGATGGTGGAGAAGGCATCGGATGTGACAATGTCCAGCGAGGCGGTGCTGGGCCGCCCGCTGTCCTGGATGTAGTGAATGAGCAGGGCTCGGAAGTAGCCGCTGTTGGCAAACAGAATGTTCCTGTGGGCCTTGAAGATCCGCCCTTCCACAATGATGCTGCAGTCACAGAAAAAGTCCCTCTTTCGCTGTTCATTCAACTCCCCCAAGAGCTTGGCATAATAGGATTGCATCTCCATTTCTCCACCAGCTGCTGCTTCTCTGGAGTGGCCTGTATCTCTGCCAAGATTTTTTTTTTTTTCCAGTTAATTCACCGATCCCAACCTTACAAATAAGATGTTCAGTTTTAATTTTTCTTTTTCATTCTTCCCCAAACACCGGTTCAATAGTGTCTTTATGATATGGGTTATTTTGGGATCTAACAAAAATCAGAGGTGGTCCAACGGGGTTAATTTATGAAAAACAACAAAAATAACCAGAACAAGCTGCACGTGGCACAGTACATAGTGTTTTACATGGAAGCTCTCAATACATTTTTATAAAAATCCGATGATAAAATTGTCCCCATTTTTCTGATAAGGAAATTGAGACTTAGAGAAGGTAGGAGATGACCCAGCTCTAACAGCCAGGACTCAAAACCAGGTCAGTTATCCCCTGGAGTTCCTGCTTTTATGCCTACACTATACTTTCTTCAAGACTCAGAATATAGATAATACCCAAATCTAATACTTACAGCTCAATCCTGACACGGACCTTGGAGACTGTACTCGCCTGTCTCGGCACACCCCTCTTATCATGCCTTCATGGAAGCACGGCGGATTCTTGGGCTAGCCTGCATACAGTCATCGTTCTTATGGTTTTTCGTGCCCATTCTGGCTTTGAGAGATCCACCCTTCCCCCATTCTTGGCCAACGTGTTTTGCATCAAGCTGGCGCCATCCCCAGGCTCTAGATATAAACAGATACAACACAATCAAGGCATCCCACCTTCTGAGTGCAGTGATTAGCTCAGAAATGGCCATGTGGCTTGGTCAGAGCAATGAAAAGCAATACAGGTTTAGTGAAGGTTCCAGAAAAGAGCACTGTCTACTCTGTGAGCATGTGGGATGTCAGAGATGCTGTCTCAGCACCAGGGGAACCAGCCGACAAAGATGACAGTCTGGCTCAGGCAGGAGCAACAGATGGAGCCCAGAGACACCCTCTGCGCCCGTTCATGCTGGGCCAGAAGCCAATTAAGTCTCTTTTTGCCTTAGCTGGTCTGAGTTGGGTTTTCTATCTCTTGCAAATGAGAGACTCCCAACTGATGGACTCCACTACCCTCGGTTCACTCCCTCGAATTTTATGTCCTGGCCCTTGGCTGTCAGTGGACTCCAAGCCTTTGAAGGCATGAGCCATGTCTTATCTCATTTGCTACCCTCCATAGCACCTGGCAGAGTGCTTTGGACAAAGTAGGTTGGCTAAGGACAAAGGAAGACTCCTTTCTTAACTGCTAAGTAGAACAGGTATAAATCAAGTTTAAAACCCTTCTGCTGGTGAGAAAGACAGATGCTGACCTTCTTCTCTGAGCTCTCGCCTCAATCTTTTCCCATCACACAAACCACAGAGCCGTCCTGTGACAGCACTGCAGCTGGTCTTAAGGGTTAACTTGCTTCAAGTTAACACAACTCCTTGCTTACTGACCTAAGGCCCTTGATCTGTAACCGAACTAATTTGCTTTCTTTGAGATTTGCAGACCACTGGCCTTGGAAAATGAAGGACCAGAACTTTCCCAGGCCACAGAGGCCGGCAAGTCTGTTTGAAGCCGCCTCGGCTTTCTGATTAGCCTGGCAATCTTTTAACAAAACATTTTTCTTTTTTAAGGTCACGCAAATGACTCTACTGACCTCCCTTTGCGCATCTGTAAACCTTGCCCTCCTTTGCAGAAAGATCAGAGTACTCTTGCATAACCCCGGGGTAGCCAGGAGCCAGACCTTCTTGCACAACCTCTGTGTGCTGAGATAATTCTGTAGCTAGCATCATTGAGCCGCACATCATCAAGAAATGTCAAAGCCCACTGTACTCCCTTAACTGATTAAACCCCTTTAAAAATCCCTGGGCCAGGCAGAAACCTCGGAGTTGGCTTTTGGACAAGAGTCTGCCTTCTCCCCAGGTGGCTGGGCTCCTCTCTTGAGTATTGGCCTCTTGAGCAACAAGCAGCCGAACTTGGGTTTCGGTAACAATCCATCCACTACCCCTTTTGCATACTGACCCATGGAGCACAGATAAGTTTCTATAACCAAGTACATCATCTCCCTCTACTGGAATCACAAAAGGCCTAGTTAGAGCTGCCAACCACAACCAACTCCTTAGCACTCTTCCTTTCTACAAATGCAACACAATACCTCACCCAGCCAGAAATCAGACACTCCCTACCCACAAAAAGGGCCCTTCCACTGGCAAAATAGACGCCCCAAGGTCTATGTACTAACTGCACAGACTAGATTCATCGAAGACCCTCAACAACCTTATTAAGTGGCTGTCCACACCTACTTTCTACGTACTTATAGCAAGTGATGCATTAAGGTAAGAAACTAGACAACCAATTAGGGAGAGAAGTGAAGGAGTGTCTCTAAGCAAGTAAATTGACAAAGGTGAGAACTGACAGCTAGGAAAAGGTAAAAAAGTTACTTAAAAAACAGACCCAGGAATTTTTTCAAAATTTCAGCATGAGGCCATGTAGCTAAGCATATTAGATGCTCCTACATATTCAAAATGGCCTAAGGACAGCAATAAATTATAGCCTGGGGCTATCATTGATGGGCCTAAGTCATCAAGATGATTCTTACCTGTTTATATTCATTTTAAAGTCAAGGAAGTTATGCCATAATTTCAGGAATTTTTTTTATCCAAAGTAGTTAAAATTAACATTTGGTTCAGAAAGAAAGAGACCTATCATATATCTGCACAATTCCCAAAAATATCAACCCTGAAAGTTGTCACAGAACTAAGGTTTCACTGTCATTCCCACCTCTTCTGACTGCTCTAACCAAGCCTTCCAGGCAGTTCCTGCCATTGCCTTTGGCTATCAAAATATGAAGGGAAAAATGAGATATTGGAAAATGCAACATTTCAATATCACACTCTACTTTTCTTTAGAACTGAAAGAAAGGGGCGCCTGGGTGGCTTAGTCGGTTAAGGGGTTAAGCATCTGCCTTAGGCTCAGGTCATGATCCCAAGGTCCTGGGGTCAGGCTCCCTGCTCATCGGAAAGTCTGCTTCTCCCTCTCCCTCTGCTCCTCCCCATCCTGTTCATTCTCTCTCTCTCTCTCTCAGATAAATAAAATCTTTAAAAAAAAAAAAAAAGAACTAAAAGAAAACCTATCAGACTGGTAAAATCACATTTTTCAATGTGCTAAAATCCAATGTTGATGTGGATATAATCTGGAATACCATTTTAGAGAGGAATTTGGCAATATTTATTAAAACCTAAAATGCACAGGGGCGCCTGGGTGGCTCAGTTGGTTAAGCGACTGCCTTCGGCTCAGGTCATGATCCTGGAGTCCCTGGATCGAGTCCCGCATCGGGCTCCCTGCTCAGCGGGGAGTCTGCTTCTCCCTCTGACCCTCCCCCCTCTCATGTGCTCTCTCTCATTCTCTCTCTCTC